TACCAGTCCTGAAGAACCATAGCCATAGGATCTGCATGACTCAAGGCAACAACGAGATGTCTGAAGGGAGTTTTGGAGAAGGTTCAGTATTGATGGTATACTAGAGGCCAAAGTCCTTGAACCTGTCCAATCTTACAATCAGCATTTACAAATAAAGCTGTTTTAACAAAAGGGTTTACTGCATTGCACAACACAGCTCCCAATGCCACTAAAATAAATGAAGAGATGATGGAGAGGCAGGAAAGGCAGAGAAGCAATGTGGCTTTTGTTTGTTTGTTTGTTTTTGTTGTTTTATTTTGTTTTAATTAATTTTTAAAATCTTCTTTGAGGGGAGATGCTACAAGAGTAAAGGAAAGATGTGGGAAAGGAATGGGATTGGGGTGCTTGATGTTTTATTGAGTCCTAGAGAATCAATAAAATTATGTTTAAAAAAAGACATATTGATCAATGAAATAGATTTAAGGAACCAAAACATAAGCTCACACTCCTATAAATACCTATTTTCGAGAAAGAGGCTAATAATATACATTGAAGAAAAGATAGCATCTTCAACAAATAGAGCTGTTCAAACTGGATAGATAGGTGTAGAAGACTGGAACTCGATTCTCATCTCTCACACTGAACAAAATTCAACTCCAAATGGATCAAGAGCCTCAACATAAAATCTGATATCCTGAACCTGATAGAGGAGAGAGTAGGGAATATGCTTGAACTCATTGGCACAGGAAATGACTTTCTGAATAAAACTCAGACAGTGTAGAAATTAAAACCAGCAATTTGCAAGTAGGACCTCATTAAAATGAAAGGCTTTGTACAGCAAAGGATGTCATCATTCTAGTGAAAAGGCAGCCTACATAATGGAAAAAATCCTTAGGACCTATATATTTGACAAAGGGTTAGTATCTAGTATATACAAAAAAAAAACTAAAAAAAAAACTATTCATAAGAAAGTAACAATTTTAAAAATTGAGGTATGAGACTATGCAGAGTTTTCAAAAATTAAATATAAATAGCTGAGAAATATGTTTAAAATATTCAACATCTTTAGCCACTCAGTAAATGTAAATGAAAACAGCTAAAATTTTAATTAAACAGAATTTCACCACAGAGTTGTGCATTTTGAGTATTCTTATTTTATCCATTTTCCATGTAGGAAACTGAGGCAAACAAGATCATTATTCACAGAAGGTCATATAGCTGATAAAATAGTTGGTATATTTTAAAAATATGTTCAAGGTTAAATCATAAATACTTCCTTAACATATATTGATGTAATTGATTAAATTAGTTTCATACTCCAACTTGCAATAGTGCAGCTTCCTTATCTTTCCCTACTTGGAACAACTATTCCTTGGAATCTAAATTGTGTGCCAATGTGCAAACTTCTAATTAGTTTTCAGGACTCTAGCACTGAACACAGCATGCCCAACACAACTCTGAGTGCTTTTATACAATGACTCCCCGACCTTACACAGATTATACTAGTTTATATTTTTTAAATGTTCTTACCTCCTATCTTCCTATATTTAAGACACTCACTTGTTACACAATCTGAATTTTCTTTTTATTTATTTTTTTCACACAATATACTTTGATGATATTTTCCCCTCTCCCAACTCCTCCCAGACTCTTCCCACTTTCCTACCTGTACAGTTCATTTCATATTCTGAATTTGGTAACAAGGAAAACTGTAACTATAACTATCTCATCTTCAAATGTGGGGCTCCTTTTTTCTTCATGGTCTGTTTGCCACCAATCCATGAGAACAAAGGGGCAGAAGTAGCAACTGAGAGCTTTGTGTGGCCTCTGTGGGCTTGTGAACTATAGGCTTAACGACCTTGGTTTATGGCTAGAGTCCACAGATGCATGAGTACATACCATATTCATCTTTTGGGGTCTGGGTTATCTCACTCAGAATAGTGTTTTCTATTTCCATCCATTTGCATGCAAAATTCAAGATGTCATTGTTTTTGACTGCTGAGTAGTACTCTAATGCATATACATTCCACACTTTCTTTATCCATTCTTCCATTGAGGGAGTTTTTCACATCCTGTTCATAATGTCTATTTTTTCTACTTCTTCTGGATTAAGGTGTTCAAGTCTTCCTGTTGTATGTTCGCTGGGTTCTGGTGTTATCATGTTGTTTTTCAGATTATTGGAAGAATTCTTGCATTGGTGCCTGCCCATCTCTTCCTTCAAATGCTCTCCGATGGGTCTTCTGGTACAGGATCAGGGCCACTTGCTGGTCAGGGACGAGCCCCTTTCTTCCATTTTTTTTAAGGGAATTTCTCATTTCCTCTTTTAGAGTTTCAAACATTCTCTTGAAGTTATGTTTTAGGTTATTTTCTTCTGCTTCATCCATATTTAGTTGTTCAGGTCTTGTTGTTGTAGGGTCTTTAGGTTTTACTGGTGTTGTGCCGCTCTTTGTGGTGTAACATGTGATCTTACCTTGTCTACTCATCTTTTCCTCTAATAGGTGTGATTGGGTCTGTCTGAGATTCTGTTGAATAATCTTCTAGGTGCCAGTGAATCCAAAGCTCAGATGGTTGGTCCTTGTGGTACAGTCAGTGTCACAGTTGTAATTACCCTGTTGGTTACTCTGTGTTCCTGGAGATAACTCAGTGCTTCTGTGTTTTTCTCTGCTCCCTTACAGTTTGCTGTCTCAGGCCTACTTTGGCCTAGGTTGCAGGCTTTGCCCCGTTTTTTTTGTAAATCCTGGTCTGGAAACCCTCCTGCAGAAGTCCCTGGCTTGGAGTTGGTCCTGCAAAGGTTTCTGCCTCTGGTCTATTTCCCTATACCTGTACCTGTTCCGGTGGAGGATCTGGTCACTGGCTCAATCCTGATCCGCCAGTGTTCTGGGACTGGGTTGGCTTCTGGGGCTTGATTTGCTCCTGGCTTCTGCTCCTGGGTGGAGCTTGTTTCCTCAGGCTCTCTCTGTCCTAGGTAGCTTGTTCAGAGCCACTCCTGTAGAATTTGTTGCCCAAGGTGTAGTTCCATGCCTCAGGGGAAATGTGGCCTGGTTACCTGCTTTGCCCTGTGTCTGTAAATCCTGGTCTGGATTCCCTCCTGCAGAAGTCCCTGGGTTGGAGTTGGACCTGGAAAGTTTCTGGCTCCAGGCTCAGGTGTGCCCCTACCCGCAGAGGACCTGCTTACTCCTTCAGAAGTCCCAGACTCATGCTCAGACCCAGAGGTTCCAGGTTCACTCACACCCAGGCTAGCAGAGGTCCAGGCTCAGGCCTAGTTCTTGGGAGGTCCTAGACTCATGCCCAGAACCACTGGGATCCTGGCTTACATCTACTCCCTTGAAGGTCTCAGATTCACATCCGGACCCTCAGTGGTCTCCAGCTCTGGCTCACTCGCTTAGTGGGTACTCCCCTTTACCTGCTTCTGTGGAGATCTCTGACTCTGGATCTGGTCCCTGGCTCAATCCTGATCCACCAGTGTCCCTGGATTGGGTTGGCTTCTGGGGCTGGATTTGCTCCTGGCTTCTGCTCTTGGGTGGAACTTGTTCGCTCTCTGTTTTAGGTAGCTGGTTCAGTCCCATTCCTTTGTTCCCCATTCTTAACAAGGGCAACAGCTTTTTCTTTTTTTTAATTAATTCAATTAAATAATTAATTAAATTAAGAATTTTTAAGTGTCACCAGGCAGTGGTGGTGCATATGCATACCTTTGATCCCAGTACTCAGGGAGGCAGAGACAGGTGGGTGTCTGTGAATTCAAGGCCAGCCTGGTCTACAGACTGAGTTCCAGGACAGTCAGGGCTGTTACACAGAGAAATCCCCATCTGGTCTCGAAAAACAAATGAAAAATTCCCAGGTGTCTCACCAGATGTGCTGACAATAACAATGAAGTGTGAGACTGCCTGTTATTGCACTGCACAGCTGGGTAGAGAATGCAGGCAGTGCACAGCCTGGCCAAGGGCAGCAGCTGCTGCTGCTAGCGTGTACCTGGGGTCTAAGAGTGTGTGGCACTGGCTGCAGCAGTAAAAGCCTGAGTAGTATCAAGGTGGCCCACCTGATGTGGTAATAGCCCAATGAGGGTGTTGAGGGGAAGCCCACAGCCCATGGGGAGGAGCCAGTAGCCTGAAAAGACAACACAGGGGGATGTACAAAAGAATGTGGTGGGAAATGAAGGCTTGCAGCCACCAGAATGACAGAATGTTGTGGGTGGCTAACTTCAATAATTTTGGGGATCCAGCATCAGCTGGAGGCTACCATAGAGAAGTTGCAATGGGAAAATCCCAGGTTTCCATGGAGGGCATGAAGGGAGGGTGGGAAAGCTAGCCATAGCAGAGAGTGGCTGCCTTGTGATCTCATGCCCTATGTTGAACACAAGTTTTAACCATTTATCTAATTATTCTTTATCAATAAAAATTGGAGAGTCAGATATCAAAGTAAGAACCTGAATGATCAAAGAAGCAGAGGAGAAGCAACCAGTGGCCTCCGCTCTATATTCCTTGATCCAAAAAGGGCTGAGAATCTTTCCAAACCCCTCCCTACCACTTCCTGTGTCTCTCTATATATGTCCTTCATTCTCTAATACCTCTATGGCTAATTTGATCATCTAAGAACTTGCTCTGCCCTCTGATTTAAAGTAAACTTTATGGACAGTCTTGGGAGTGTCAGAGTGTGATCAAAATATCCCACAACACCTGAGCCTCTGTTCCTGTAAGTTCAAGTTGAAGACAAAGTATGTGAGATCAGGAAGCACTCTTTTTTATGACCAGCTGAGTCCACTTGGTGTAATGTCCTCCTGATTTAGCTATACTGTTGCAGTGATGATCTTTATTTTTTATTATGTCTCGGATTATTTGTGTGTTCATTCATCTATTAATGGACATTTATATCTTGGCTATTGTGATAATGGTTAGTCAGATCTTATCATGAAAAGAAACTCTAACAAGCCCAATCTTTACTAAAAATGACAGGTATGTATGCATGTATGTATGTATGTATGTATGCTGCATATATGTACCACCATTAAAGAGAGTAGCACTGACCTGCTCAACTGAAGTCTTGGTCTTTTCTTCTGTGCACGTTCCAGGTTAATGGTTGCATTCAGTGCATGGCCATTCGTCACTTTGGTGAATTACTTGTGGATATGAATCAATACAAATGGATGCTGAACCATATAATCCTAGGAAGCCTTGTGCCCATGATCCTGTTTTTGGAGTCTACAGAAACAAGAATTGCGAATGTAAGAGCTTTTTTCTTTCTTTAATTTTTTTTACATGATCTTATTTCTCCCAATTAAACCCAGCACAGTGTTTTACGTAACAACAAATCAAATCTCACTGATCTTTTCTCTCTTTCAGGCTTGCAGATATACATTAACTATCTGTGTCTCACAACTAAAATGGTCAACATCATATCTGCTCCAAGAGGAAAATTACAATTTTGAGTCAGTGGTTCTCAGCATCTGCAACAACCTTGTAAGCAGGCCTCTGCTTTAACTATTGTGAGCACAACTTTAAGTTTACACACACGGTGAAAGGTGCAGGGGTGAACAGGAGGCGCTTGTAGAAAGAATGTGAAGAAAAGGGAATATTTACATTTACAGTATGAAATTTAGATGTAAGAAAGAGAATTTTTCACACTTTCAACATTGATCATTCTATCATCCTCCCATTTTGTCCTTTGGGAGGTCATAAACTTGAGTAGAACACTCTACATCACCAAAGGAAAATGGGAATTATTTTGCCATGACTGCATGAGCTGGTCTTTTGAAACCCAGCATGAACAAGAGTAAATAGGTGGGGATGAGAAGATGCTAACTCCAGATTAGAAACATCAGGAACGATATGATAAAGAGACTAATCCTTGCCAGCAGCCCCAACAGTAGAATTCATACAGACAAATCTCCAAGTTTTATATTGGTCTTCATACTAGCAATTAAGTAATTAAGGTCTCTCACTGACTATTTTCTAGAGGAAGCACAAATGTTTTGTCAACAGTTAAGAAAGTAATTTTCCTGTTTTATTCCTAGCTTCCCTCTTATGAGAGTTACATTACAGACTTAATATCTGACACCTTAGGGTTCCTGGGGAGCTCTCGATACTTTCTGAAAAGAGGAGCCATTATATTAGTAGGTAAATAAATTTATTTTTTCTTAATTTGTCTTTGAATGTATAAAATAGGGTTTAAGTTGAAGCTATTCATTAAAATATTTACAAATTTTTGTGATTGACAATACCTGTCATGGTGAATAAGTATGAATATGATAAATATAAAGATAAATATGATGAATGGGGTTAGTATGTGTGATTGCAATCAAGTTCTATTTTACATCACAGAGTAGGTATATCTGTCTGGTCACTTATTACATAAAATGTGTTCAACAAGATGAACAATAAGATTTCAAAATATGATATCATTCCCTCCACTACCTAATATCACTATCTAAATAGCAAGAGTGATTTAAAACTTCACTTAAGCATCATGTTCAGCACAATCTGAATGCCTGTAACTATGAACAACAAAAAATAAGGAAGAGCTAAAGATCCAGTAAAATTTAGAAATAAAATATATATGGGAGAAACCCAGAAAGCCACTCAGAGGGGAAGACAACTGAAGTTTTGATCTTGGACAAAACTGACCAATGGCAGTGGTGGTTTTCTTCATGACATTCTCACTGTGAGAGTCTGGAATTCCAAGGCTGGGGATAGGTCTCCCCTTGTCCATATTTAGGACCCTAGGCCATTAAGAACAGAAAGGACTGAGGACATTCATGGTCATATCACCCTGTAGAGAATTAGGACAGTCCAGATACATGACCAACTAAACCGAGATGGGCATTTGGATTCTGATCTGTGATATTCACAGAGCAGGGTGGGGGGAGGGAAAGAAGACAGAGACACAGAGAGTTCTGTAATAACTCTATTTCAAACCAGTACAATCTCCTGAATAACCTGGAGCTTTCCATTTCTGTGTGCAACAACTATGGAATCCCCAATAAATCACATTTTCATAAAAGGGCAGCATCATTTTTTTCTGAAGCAGTTCTTAAAAAGAAAAAACACAGAAAAGAAGAGGGAAAAATATAGAAAATATATTTTTAACCAAACATTTGAGACTCACAATAAATAATTCTATGAACCTAAAACTTTAAAATAAAGATTAAATGTATCTAAAAATATACAGGTGTATCTGATTAAACAAGCAAAAACCATGAAAATAAGATTTTACAGCATAGGGGGAAAGTGTGAGGCAAGATACATAACCATCAAAGAAAAGGAAAACAGCTGTGACCCACAAATGAGAAAATCTGCCCTGTTAGTAGAAATAAGCCAATCCCCCACCAGAGCAAAGATCACACAGGTGAGATTAGGGTCTAAATTCCTGTGATGCTTTAGAATAGATATTGATTATGTATAGTTCCTTGAATATATATTTAATTTAAAATGTAATTTAAATCTCACAGACCTTATAAATCAATGGTGGAAATATCCATGAACAAAAGATACTATTCATAATGGGAAAAAAAGAAATAAGGAAAGAAAATGAGTGTCTTACGGTTTTTGTTGCTGTGAAGAGACACCATGACTACAGCAAATCTTATAAAGGAAAACATTTAATTTATTGCCAGCTTACAGATCAAAGAGGTTCAATTCACTATCATCATGGCAGGGAACATGGTGGTGTGCAGGAAGATATGGTACTGGAAACATCTTGATCAGAAGGCAACATCAAGTGGTCTGTCTGTCAATTCCACATCTACTCCAACAAGGTTACACCTCCTAACAGTGCCACTCCCTATGAGGTTATAGGGGCTAATTATATTCAAATTACTCAATGATTAAAGAAGAAATGGGAGGAAAGAAGAGAAGGAAGAAAGGAGGTGGGGTAAGAGGAGAGAGCTGGAGAGAGCTGGAAAAGAAGAAGGTATTTTTTTTCCAGAAGCTGGAAAAGATGAGAGAGAATGAAATGGGGAAGAAGGGAGGATGGATTGAGAGAACAAGGAGGGAAGAAAAAACAAACTTTGAGTGCGTGCACTGCAACATGAAGAAAATGTATGAACATTGCTGAAAATGAAATTGGAACAATGAGTAGAGTGTAAATTCTATTTTGAGACAGAAGGAATAAGATTTAAAGTTCAATGCTTTTTAAAAACCTATACATATATCAACAGTTTATTCTCAAAGTTGATACATTGAATATAATACACACACTCAAGATAATATAAAAAGTTATGTGCAAGAACAGTGAAGGCTCCAATCTGAAAAAAATCTGGAGACAAGCTGTGCCAGATGTCAGCTTGGCTATAGTAATTAAATATCACATGCAAGGAACAGACAGGAAAAAATTGAACAAAATAACATCAATAAATAACTCCCACATTATATAATATTAAAGGGTGAGCCACAAACTTTAACAGTGATGAAAACATGGAATATTCTTTAAATGTAGTGACATCTGGTAAATCAATATACATAATTTTTTCACTCTTACATTAAACAAACTCCAGATGGTCAAAGAAGAGTCAATGCTATCCTGAAACCATAATTACAAAATAATTTGACAAACTAACATAGAAAAATGTTCTTGATAATCACAGGGTAGAGCTCTCACAGTGAAAGTCACAAACTAAGCCATAGAAAAGATTCCCAACTCTGTAAACTTAAAATGCTTTCCAATGAAAAAAAAGAAACACTACAAGTCAAAATCCAAATTAGAAAACAATCTGGTTAAAAAATGCAAAGAACATAAAAAGTTGACATTTAAGCATAAAATTTTCACAACTTCATAAAATAGCAATGCAAGACTATTTTCTTTCCACTGTCTTGGAAGATCCCCTTCTATTTGTGTGCTCTTACTAACTACCTAACCTCTGTGGATGCTATGAATGAAGCACTCTTATCTAAAGCATAAGAGCTAACATCTACATGTAGAAGTGATGTGGGAGGGTCTTCTGTTTTGAGTTGATTTCATTGGTTAATAAAGAAACTGCCTTGGCCCTTTGATAGGACAGAAAATTAGGTAGGCGGAGTAAACAGAACAGAATGCTGGGAGGAAGTGAGGCAATCGCCATGGCTCTCCTCTCTGGTCAGACGCATTGGAGCCAGCCGCCAGGTCAGACATGCTGAATCCTTCCTGGTAAGCCACCACTTCGTGGTGCTACACAGATTATTAGAAATGGATTAGTCAAGATGTGAGAGTTAACCAAGAAGAGGATAGATATAATGGGCCAGGCAGTGTTCAAAAGAATACAGTTTCCGTGTTGTTATTTTGGGGCATAAACTAGCCAGGTGGCTGGGAGCCGGGCAGCAGGAATGCAGCCCGCAGCTCCTTCTACATAGGAGAAAACATACAATGTTTGTCTTTCTGGGTATGAGTTCCCTCTCTCAAAATGACTGAGTGCTTCTAGCTCAATCCATTTACCTGAAAATTACACAATTTTATCTTTCTTAGCGACTGAATGATACATATTCCATTGTATAAATGTACTACATTTTCATTATCCATTCATCAGTTGATAGGCATCTAGGAATCTGGAGTCCCAGTTGTTTTACTATGATGTATTATGTTGCTCTGAGTCTTTTAGAAGAAAATGGAAATGATTTCTCATCATAGTGATGCTCTGAATTTTTACCTTTCCTAAGAAGAACTTCTTGATAATGCTCCTGGAAATGCAGAAGGAATTCTTATTGCTGTTGCTGTTACTTGTGGTTATGGGGATTGTGATAGTTATGCACTCATCCACTGGGCTACATTCCCAACTCTATTTTTTAATTGACAGCTTTCTGCATTCCTCCTTGCTCTCTGTTGCCCCATCTAATCTCTTGACCTCTCACAGAGAGTCTTTTCCCCAATGAGCCCTCCTCCTACTTCTCAGGCCTTTTATGTGTGAGGTAGTTTAAATAGGGGTGTCTGCATGAGCATGGGTAGGAAGTTACTTGTAGGAATATGGTGACTTATAAGTGGTTACACCAATGGAGAGTGGAGTCCTGTGAGGGGAATTCTGAGTGCTTGGAAGAAAACTCCAAGAAACCAAGACAAGAGTTTTATGACCACAGTTTCTTCAAAAACAGAATTGTTCTTAGTTTTTGATTTTGTGCCCCTCTAAGGTATAGTGGATAGAAGTGAGTTTACTACATATTATTAATTACAATTGGCTAATGCCATTTGTTTATATGCCTCTATGGAAAAACATGTTTTTACCATTTGAAGCTTGCCCACCATGTGCAGCTTGCCTGACACTTGAGGTTTGACCTTGTAATTGTACCCTTTACTCACATGACTCTTCTTAACTTGTCTCCTGTGACTCCTTACTCATGTGACTCTTTTTAACTTGTCTCATGTGAACACTTTAGTCATGTGACTCTTCTTGTTTGATGCTTTGAACAAAGTGGACTATTCCATGAGAAGTTAGTCCTTGGCTCTCTTCTCTGTGGTCCTACCACCAACTAGAGCAGAAAACAACAGGTGATACGTGAACAAAATGAGTCAATAGCCAGGTTGTCTTTCAAGGAATCTTCACTCTGCATGTAAAAACAGCAATGCATGAGCTTTCTACAGAAAGGAATGTGGTGCATCTCACAAAGCTATGTTGAATGAGGATAGTAGAGCCCTAAAATCCATTCTGAAATGTGGAGAAGGAAACTGTCAAGGGCTTGTGAAGGTCTTCTGTGAATGTATATGTAGCTAAGGTAAGTTCACTTTGTGTTCATTTTTCAGACACATTTTAATTTTTCATTATATAATAATTGTTTGAAATCCCTAAGAGATATTTTAAAAAGAATCTATTATCTAGCCAGATAACAATGGAAATGTATCCAATAGTTTATTTGGGCCTAACTTTGCTTATCCTTTACACATAGGGTACTTGGGAAAATCTGGAGCACATCTACTACTCAGGGATGAAGTTGATGTCATGATTGAGGGTAAGACTGAAGTCTTTACGTATAGATCCAAATAAGTTCACTCTTTTGTTTCTAGTTGAATGAGATTTCTAAATAGAGTTTACAGGATGGAAATCAGGTGGTAGTGGGTTTATGAGGGAGAAAATCAGGAGAGGTCCTATGTTAAGGGGCATTTGTTTTTGTTTCTCTCCCTATTCTTTCTTACTGTCCCTGTTTCATTCTCCAAGTTTATCCCATTTATTGTCTAGGATCTAAATCATCATGCCAGAGCCTTAAGAAGCTATTGGAAGTTCAGGAGTCATTCACTCATGTTGTCAGGGTTTCTTTCCTGCCCAATTGTTAAGTCCCAAAGAAATCACACAGAGGTCTACATTGGTTATAAACTGATTGGCCCACTAGCTCAGGCTTCTTATTAACTCTTATAACTTATATTAGCCCATTATTCTTATCTGTGTTAACCACATAGCTCAGTACCTTTTTCAGTGAGGCAGTCACATCTTGCTTCTTCTCAGGTCAGGACAGGACTGCAGAGGAATGGCTTCCTTCTTCCCAGAATTCTCCTGTTCTCATTGACCCACCTCTACTTCCTGTCTGGTTGTCCTGCCTATACTTACTGCCTGGCTACTGGCCAATCAGCATTTATTTAAAATATAATTGGCAGAATACAGACCATGGTCCCACACCACACTCACATATCCTGCAAATCTTTTTTTCTACCAAGTCCTGTGTGACAGCACCATGTAGTTGTTGGGCTACCCTAGTCAATAAAGTTGGCTCTTTCCTTTTGGATTTTACATTTTAGGGAGTATTAGCATACATTACATTCAGAGGGGGAGGAGTTAAAGAAGGCTAATGTTATTTCTTCCAAGGGCATGGATAATAGGTATCACTCTGTTTTTGTGTCTCTCTGTTGCCTTATTAGAAAATAGCTTGGAGGCAGGGCTAAAGAGATGGCTCAGCAGTTGGAAGCACTTGTTCTTGCAGAGGGCCAAAGTTCAACTGCCAGCACCTGCATGGTGACCCACAACAATCTACAACACCTTTCCAGGGATCCAATACCCTATTCTAACTTCTGCAGGCACCAAGTACGCATGCTGAACATACATATGCTCAGGCAAACAATTCATTGGCATAAAATACAATAAATAAATCTAAAAACAGCTTAAAGAAAATAGCTAGGATATCTGTCTGCCCCTCTTTTCCTCCCTCCCTTCTTCCTTCCCTCCCGTCTTCCCTCCCTCCCTTCTTCTTTTCCTCCCTTCCTTCCTCCTGTCTTTATAAAGTCTACTATTGTGCAGAGAAATTTCAGGTTCATAACAGCATTGCTGGAGGTTCAAGGATTTCCCACGTGCTTCCACACTGTATTCATGCAGTATCCTCACACATCAGTATCTCCCTCCTGGGTGGGCCAGGTGCTACACAGAGTTGTGCCCACCTGGTTCATCATTAGCTCTCCTTCATTCAATCAGTCACTTTCATTCATTCAACACTCCTGACAACCTACTAAACGCTAAGCACTACACTTCTTTCTTAACCCCTCTCAAGATTGTTCTCTTTTCTCCTTTCCCTTCTCTTTCTATTTCTTTTCTAAAATAGCCTTCTTCATTCTATTTATTTTACCCAAAATAATAATAATAATAGTAGTAGTAATAATAATAATAATAATATGGCTCACCCTGCAGTCCCAGCATTCGGATGATGGAGGCAGAACTGCCACAAGTGCAAGACTGTTTGTCATAAGTGCATTTTTATGACAATGAATATACATTGACTCATTATATTAAAACATATGTGCTATTTTATTTTATGATAACCTTAATTTTAATCAGTTTTCTATTGGTAAGCAGTGTGTTACGCGACTATCACCAACACGAGTCTCTCATTATGATATCGAGCAGAATGCTTAGCACATATGTATGCCATAAATTTGGCACCCATTTATATTTTTCTTTAATAGATCTTATTAGTAAAGTAGAGAGAGGAAGAATTACACAGGGAAAATATGGGGGAGAGCATCTTGGTAAAAGGTGGTTGCTTAGACTTAATGCTTCGTGGAGTTAGAGACCTTGAACTAAGGACCCCACTGCTGTTACAGTTATTGAACGCGTGGCTCGGGATGAAGATCCTATGAACAAGAGGTTGGCAGAAATAACCCATAAGCTTTTTAAAGAAATAGCCTATCAAATCGCCTCTTCCACCATCAAACAAACCTTTCGAAGATGGGTTAAGATGTTTCATACCAAAAAATTGAAGCCCATTTATGACTTGGCCAATATTATTAAGGAAATTATGGAAGACTTAGAAGTAAGTGCCGAAGATAGCCCGGTGGATCTTGCTAACAAGAAATCCGAATATACCTTTGAAAATCACGATTTGTACTTAACCTCAGACCATGTTTAAGTCCTTTTCTGAGGAATACTAAAAGTTGTCACCAGCCCTTCTAGTTATTAAAATATATGAATCTGAGAAGTCTGCCACCTGTCTGACAATAAGAAAACCCTTTCTATGCAGCACTGGAAATCTAGATGCATTCTTACGCTCTCTTGGCCCAGCTGGGCAGACACTGTTTCCATCCTGTCTTAACATCCTGGTTGAAAATTTCTCCCATTTCCTTTATCAGATTGTACCAAAATCATTGCCTTCTCTTTTCTTACTGAACAGACTTTTTTTTGAAAGCACGCACCGTAGAACACACAGCACCTGGCATCTGATGGAAAAAAAATAAAACCACTCTGAACACTTGCCAGATGAGTTCAATGCAGATAGAACATATCACTTTCATGCTTTGTGACATGTGAGTAGTGGTATGTCATCGCCACATACTTGTAAGCGCTACTTAACAGAAATCATGGACGGTTGATTATTTGACTGGGAATGGACAGAAACACTATGTATTAATTGTGTCTGAGTTATTTCCCATGCATCTGGCCATGTATAATGCTCATGGTTATATTTTAATGCCAGGATTACAAAGGAAGACAATCTCTGTAAGGGTTGACCAAAGGGCAGAGAGCTTGTGCCAGGCAATGTGTACTGACAAACAGTCCTGCTAAACTCTCCAGAGCTCTTTCTCCCCAGACATAGCTGAACAAAAGGTCTGAACTGCAGAAATTATTGCTATATTAGACAACCAGGTCTATGATATCTAAACTCTATCTAGAAGATACTTACATAACATGTTTCTTGAGGTTTTTTTATTTTTACAAAATTGAATTCAAATGAGTATCAACAGATGAATGACAAACTAAATGTAGAATTATCTAAAATGGAATATTGTTAGATATTTTTAAAAATGAATAAAATACTAACACACCAGCCTGAAAATATTGCATTACTAAGCGAAAAGATCACACATGGCATGGTTCATTGTACGTGAAATATCAGGAATACGTAAACCTGTAAGCAACAGACAGGATGCTAAAGGCATCCAGAAATTATAGAAGGAGGAGAACAGGAATAAGAACTTGATAGATCTCCTTTGAGAGTGTTGGAAATATCCTATAACTGCACAGAGGTGGTTGTTCTCCAACATCCTAAATACACTAAGTCCCACTGAATATAGATTGTAAAATAACTGACTTTGTGTTGTATATACCTCGCATCAACTTTTTAAAGAGTGATAGAACACAGGCCCACTCTGCCGGAGCCACAGAAATCCTGACCCTACATGACTTCCTGACTACACCAGTTACCACCCTGAGCCAGGGTCCTCTCAGGTGAGAGTTGTTTTGGCCTCTTCTGGAACGTGTCCCTCCCTCTCCACGGGTAGTCACGGTCCAAGAGGATTCTCTCTGGAGCTCCTGGTATGTGACCTTAGGTGACCTTCGACAAAAAGGAAAACATTTGCGGGTTGGGTCCTCTCTGTTCAAAGTGTCCTTACAAGGTCCAAGCAAGACCAGCCTGTGGATATGTTTTTTTTTTTTTAAATGGTATCAATATGAAAGTCAGGGAGATAAACGAGCCCACATCCCCAAGCAAAACCCCTTTCCCAGGCTGTGTTTACACTGTGGGAATAGTTCATCACTTGAGCTCGATTGATCGTTACGAGAAGCCCTCTCTATGTATTTTCAAAAGAGGAAGAGACTCTATGACTTCTCTGTGTGGAGTTCCCTGCTAAGCACGTGCTTCTGAGGAGATTTCATGGCGAACACTCCACCATGCAGGCCATGAGCTGCTCACACCCCACATGCCACACACCCCTCATGCCACACATGGCCTCCATGGGACAAGCCATGACCAAAGTTTCCGCAGTGGATGCCAAGCAGAAGGGAAGACTCCAGCTTCAGCAGCTCTTGCCTGACAGGAAATCTAGTGCCTCATACAACGTGCCCGATTCCTTCCTGGTGAAGAAACTCAACTTCGCCACTGCAGACAAAAGACCCCTCATACACAGCAAAGCCTTCCTATCCCACCACCTACATGGGCACCTGGATGTTTTCTCAGACCAGGCCCCATGCATCAAGGCCTGGTTCAGGAGACAGAATCACGAGGTATGTTTCCATGTGAAGATCTCAGTGCTGCGGATCAGCCTCCCCATTCTTATCCTGTTTCCCCTTCAGAAACATCTGCCGCCTTAAGGCCTGGAAATACGCTACTAAAAGCTTGACTGCTGGCTCTGAAACATTTCTATGAAAATGCCAAAAACTTGAGCTCAGGAAGTCTGTGACAGCAAACCTTGGTTGTCAAATTGACTGGATCTATAACCAAGGGAACGAAAATCAGTTGGGCGTGTCTGTGAGGGATTGTCTTGATCGGTTTAACTGAAATCTAAAGGATCACCCTAAAGGTGGCAGATGAGGAAAGAGGAAGTACAAGAGAGAAAGGCTTTTGGCTGTTGTCTTCATATTGTGCTGGCAAGCTCATCTACTGGCCTGGCATTTGGCTGTTGGCGCTGCTGCTGCTGCTGCTGCTGTTAACACTGCTGCATTTTTTTCCACTGACGTTAGGACCCAGTTTCATTGGCCCTCCTAGATAAACTGAAGACCAGTGGCTCTTCAGCAATGCTGAGGAATCTTGTGTTGGGAAACCCTACAATTAAAGTTGTTGTTCCACCATTGTCCCGATGGCTCTCTAAGCTCAGGACAAGATTTCCTCTTCTCTTGTCTGGTACTATTTGGAGAATATCTCTAGGCTCAGATGCCGGACCCTATTTTGGGGATGACCTTGCGCAGAGCTCCCAGAAAACACCGTGGGACTCAGCAGGTAAGTCCTGCTCTTTTCTCCTCTCTGCATGATAATTAGGGCTGTGTCGTGACCAATCAGCCCTTCTTGCCCATAAGCCTAAGAACCTGTATGATACCTTACGCCTGGGACAATAAAATGAACTGACTCTCTGAAGCTGACTCCCGGAAGTTCTTTCCTTCATGGCTGTCCAAAACCTGGCCACCTCTTCTGTTTCCATGGGCCGGTGACCAACTGCTTCCAAGGAAAAGGAGACCTACACTCATGATCTGAGAGGGTACTGGGTTCATAACTCCTCCAATGTGAATTCACCGGCTGCTGGACTACCTGTAAACCAATCTAAGAAATCCTCTCGTAAGATCTGTTTCTTCAATCAGTCCTTTTCCTCTCAGGGGCCCCTAGTATGGAACCAAGAGAATGAATAACATAACAGAATTTCCCCCATATCACTAGAGTATTCCCCTGTCATCTTGTTACTGCTTGTAGTTTCAATTCTGGGGCCTTTATATAACACGTGCACTCCTTAGTCATGGGTAGCCCACAGTGCAACACCATTAACACCACATGTTAGATCTACATTCCCAAATGCTCGAGTCCTTTTTATTCTATTAGTTTTCATTTTTATTATTTCCAACCTAATGGAATTCCTGATGCTGTCTTTGTTTTTTGTTCTCATAGTGAAATCTCCCACTATTATGACACTATATTCTTTGGCTCATTGTTAAATTCCACCCCGTTTTTATGTACTGCAAAGTCAAAGAATCTGCCAACTAAAACTATAAAATGGCATCGTTACAAGACATGTCTGTATTTAAGAGAGGGTTAAAGTGCAATTCAGTTAACTATGCTAAGTAAAAGTTTGATTAATTTATTTTTAAAACAATGTATGCATGTACAATGGCATATACTTAAAAATTTCAGAAATAGACACCAAAAATCATAAGTTTCAAAATCTAAGGAAAATAAATGAAACTTATAGATACTACCCTTTTTATTTTCACTTTTTACTTTTAAACTTTATTTGTATGTATTACTTTTCTGTGTATCATTCCAACTCAGAATATAAATACTATAGGAGTGAACCCTGAATTTCTTGCCCACTGGAACCCCACATCCTGTCATGTAAGGAGCACTCAGATAGATACATGTTGACCAAAAGAACCAATTTGAAACAAGTCACTGTACTTGAGAAGAAATGTAAATCCCTCTGTGGAGGGGCATATGGGAGTGTTTGAAGGGAGGAAGGAAATGGGATTACAAAATTATGTAATATAATCTCAAAGATAAAATTAAGTTTTAAAAAAGCTGCTTTCTTGTAGTGTTTTGGAAAAAAAATGGCCCCCAAAGGGCTATTAGGAGGTCTGGCCTTGTTGGAGTTGGTGTGACTTTGTTGAGAAAAGTGAGTCACTGTGGGGGTGGACTAGATAGTCTCCTTTGCTCAAGCTACACTCATTGTGGTACACAGTTCACTTCCTGTTGCCTGTGGCTCAAGATGTAGAACCTTCAGCTCCTTCTCCAGCACCATGTCCTCCTGGACACAGTCATATTTCCAGTCATGATGATAATGGACTAAACCTTTGAATTGTAAGTCACCCCAATTAAATGCTTTTCTTTACAAGAGTTGCTACGGTTATGGCGTCTCTCCACAGCAATAGAAACCCTAACTAAGATGTTTCCCAACATTCATCTCCAAGCTCTTTGCTGATAAGTGCTCCATCATATTTGACATCAAGTTCCTGGAACTTTGCAGAGCTGTCAGACTGTAATAGGAGCGAGACAAATGTTTTTGGAAATTCTGAAACCACGGTAATGAAGAGAAATTTAGGTTCTGTAGATTGAGCCTGAAATAGTGAATTTTGAGCAGGGTCGTGAGTTAATTAGACTATGAGGAAAAATTGGTTTGGAGGTAATCTGTTGTGGGAAGCAGAAAGGGAAATATAGCCAGAATTACCACCATGGTTTTGGGGAGTGGGTGTTAATTGAGAATTTTTGTCAAGACTGGTGGTAGGAATGGGAGGGGGTGTGGTGGGGAGGGGATAGCACTTCCATACCATAAATATTTCCCCATACAATTTTAGATCCACCAAAAATATCAATATCCTCTTTAGATTCCAGCTCACTAAACATAGAACAAGATCTAAAAAGAGAACCCCTACAAGTTACCACTTTAAAGAGCCTTAGACACCCAGAAACTCACAAAGCTGAAAGAGAATCCAATATTTTGTCCAAATGTCTGTTTTCAGAAAGCTCTGCAGATTCTTCCATGCTATCTTCCCTCTGTACTCCATCCTTTGCCAACTTAACATGAAAAAAAATTAATCCAGTTGAATTTTTAATATATATGTTGAAAAACAATGCAAAAATAATTTTGGAAGTTTTAGTCAAAGAATATGAGAAGTGTAAATTTATAATGGAAATGTGTGATTGCAATTAGTTTCCGAGACATATATTTATGAGGCCATAAGATCTCAGCTATTCCACGGTGTCAGCAAATCTCATTCCTAATGTTTTCAGCTCCCTTTTTTGCCGTGTGATTTCTCACTCTCTTTTGTTCCTTCTCACATTTGTAAGTATGAAAAATATCTCAGAATAAACCATTCCTTCACATACTATCAGACACAAAGGGGGCACTAAAAGTCCCTCTTAAGAAGAGGAGGCTGGAGGAAGCCCAGTGTAGTAGATGTTGTCTGGGCTGACAGAAGAAGGGAACGCTGCTTCCATTACATAAACTAGCTAGTTAATTTTACAGAGTGCATCACAAAGACACAGAGGGCATAAACCAAGCTATGTGCAATATTACAAAGCATACACACAACATTAATCATTTAAGTAACTAGATAGCATTTTAGAATTCATAAATCTTTAATTCAGTTTCCATTCATAACACATTCATCATTCCACAGATGTGCTGACTGATAAAAATCTGTACACTCATTCTGGCAAAGAAACATTCTCTACTCAGAAAAGTTTAAAATAAATGAAACCACTCAGAGAAACCCACAGGGATTTTAAGCATTGGTTATGCTCTTATCAAATGAAGATATTATTATTATTATTATTATTATTATTATTATTATTATTAGTTTGATTTTTAGACAGGGTTTCTCTGTGTATCCCTGACTGTGGTGGAACTTGCTCTGTAGACCAGGCTGGCCTCCAACACACAGAGATTTGTCTATCTCTACCTCCTGAGTTCTGAGAATAAAGGTGAGTCCCCCACCACCAGGCTTAAATCAAGAATTAGTTTTAAATAGAGATCTCAGATTGATAGCTTACTGATACACCTAAATCCTTGGAAAAACAAGAACAAACAACTCCCTCAAAAGGGAGGGGGGAGAGGATGACCTAATCATGATCAGGACTAAAATTAATGAAATAGAAATAAAAATATTGATCAAATGAAGAGTTGGTAGCAAGACTGACAAATCTTTAGCCAAATTAACAATAAGAGTATACAAATTAATAAAATTAGAGTTGGAAAAAAGATGTTACAACAGACACCAAGAAAAGTCAGAGACTCATAAAAGATATACTTTAAAAATCTGTATTTTACCAAACTGGAGAATTTAAAAGAAATGGATGTATTTCTAGATATATTTGGCTCACCAAAGCTAAATCAAAATGAAATAAATAATTTAAATAAACTCATAATTATCTGACAAATCATTGATGTTAACTTCTAACTCGCCACAATTTTTATCTTGTTAAACTATAACAACAAAGTAGTAGGCTAGCCC